AGTTTGGTGCCTGGCAAACTTGAATTTTTTTTGTATATATGTGTGTGTGGAAATATGTTACAGAGTGAACAATTATTCAAATATTAGAGGTTTGCGGGTTTTATCAAATTCATAATAATAAGGGTTCGCTAAACCGTAGGAATCTGGCTTTATTAATTTAAAGTATAAAAAAAACATAGGAATATCTAGTATATATATAGGGTTACCGCCGTATCATAAACCATGTGTTCCATTGATGTTCTAATTCGGTCGACAATGCTTCTGCCAGATGCCAGATATCCTTTGAGCAATGGAAGCAAACGCTGCCAACAGGAACGGCGGCTCCCAAGGGGTGAGGGTGCCATTGTCCTTGTTTGCTGTGGAATACAGCAGCAAGAAGCGAGAAAAGCATATCTACCATGCACGCAGGGACGGAGCCAGGATTCAAACATACGGGGGCAAGGTTTTCCGTGTGGTGATTCACTGGAATTTTTTTTGTGCAAAGACGATTGTGGCTTAGGTTAATGAAAGATTTCATCAAGAGAACAAAACATGTGGTGGCTTGAAACAATTTCATTTTTACTAAAAGTTGCCATAAAAGAAATACAAAGGGTAATTCACATGCTAATGAACTAAATCTTTCTGCTGCTGGAAGGGATAAACAATGCAGGAATATTTCCTAATAACAAGTTTGTGTTGTCCCAATCCTTTAGTTCTAAAGGTACAGATTAATCTAATTACAAAATATATGCCCAGGATGAAGTAAAGAGAATGAGAAACGAGAGTAATTACTTGCCTCATCGCCGATCAAGCTATCTGTGCGGCCGGCCGGCCGGCCGTGCATCCATTGGATCGTCTTGCCCCCTTCGACAGTCAGATCTTCATTTAGGAGTTGCATGGCGCTGAATAAGGAACTGCCCTAGACGGCGGCTATACCTTAGCGATAGCATCGGAGGCAAGTAAATAGAAGGAAAAAAAGGACGCTAATTACGTCATTCGTTTCCTGTTGTGGGCTGCTGCAGGGGCCTGCTATAGATGGGCTTTACAGTTTTGCACTTCACGTGGTTAGGGGGGCGAAGTTAGCGAAGCGTTCATTATTTTCAC